AGGACTCTGGATGAAAATCATTTTGGATGATCTTAAAGTCAAAGTGGAACACCCGGTGCAACTACACTGTGACAATAAGTATGCTGTGAGCATAGCCCATAATCTAGTACAGTATGACAGAACCAAAAACACATTGAAATTGACAGACATTTCATCAAAGATAATCTTGACAAAGGCTTTGTGATTACAACTCATGTTCCTACAGAACTTCAAATAGCAGATATTTTTACAAAAGAGCTTACTCCGGGTAGATTTCAAGATCTTGTAGGCAAGTTGGGAATGATTGATATTCATTTATCAACTTGAGGGGGAGTGTTGTAATTTGAGATAATATCTTTGGAATCTTCCTAATTAGAGAAAATAGATACCTAATCTTTTATTTTATTTTATTTTTCCTAGTTTCCCTATTTCCCTTTTTAGGAGAACTAGATTATTACAAATAGAGGGTATGAGAATGTATTTTTTATGATTGAGAATAATAAAATAAGTCTTATTTTCAATTGTAATCGATTACATAAGTTGTATTATTGATTAAAACAGGAAGTTATGCCAATATATGTTTCATTAGTGTATTGATCTGTTTAGAATGAAAGTTGGTTTGAAAATTTGCTTAAGTGTTGACATAACCGATTACATAAGTTTCATAATCGATTAAGTATGTTTTATGTGTCAAAATCAATTTCATTTAAACCTTGAACTATTTTAACGGTCAAATGAATTTATTGTTGGCTTATAAGAATTATATAATCGATTACATGCACATAATCTATTAAAATCAAAATAAGAAAACTTGGGAGAATATGTTAAAGCAGAAGGAAAAACTTAATAGATTACATAAATTTAGTAATCAATTAAAATGCGTCATGATTTAAAAAATCCTATAAATAATGTCTTGCACGCTGTTTCAAAACAATTCAATTGCAATCAATTTCATAACTAACTATTTCATTGAGTTTTGATTACAGAAGCGTCTAAGAAGTGTCTTGAAGAATCAATGATCAAATTTGGGTTTTACACATCAAGATTTTATCAAGAAACTGGGCTGAATTGTTCTGATTGGATCTGCACTACTGGAGTGTACTTAGAAGATCAATATAGTGGAATCCCTTCAACTCATGTTGTTGAAGGAAGACTGGATGTAGGCTTAGCCGAACCAATATAAATTGCTTGTGTTAATATTTTTCTATCCTTTTCTCTTTTACCATTGATTCAACTTTTGTTGTTTTATTGATTTCAAGAAAACCAAAGATTTTGCAAAGCTTTTGAAAAGATCAATTTTTTAAAGCAAAATCCAATTTACCCCTTTCTTGGCTAGAGATATAAGTCATCTCTTTTCTAGTAGATGAGGTAGACAAACTAGATAATATAGCCAATGAAGATGGTTCTACACTATACAAAGTCATCAAAAAATTGTTACAAGACTAAAAAGCCACAAAACATAAAGAAGATAGAAACATACGTAATCAATGAAGAACCTTAGAAACATACCGGAATCCAGAAGCAGCAAATAATTACTAAAAATGCTACTGCTGATATTACAAGGTTGGGCAAGAGGTATGGAAACCTGCACAATGATTTATATGCTTTGGTAAATGAAAATCAGAGAATTATTAAAAGGATAAAATGATAAAAACACAAAGAAGAAAGGAAATCGAATCCAAAAGACCACTTACTTATCCCAAATGGAACCCTTTGAAAATAAATGTGGGTACTTCTCTACTGGCTACAATGAAAATTTTCCCAAAAGTATTAGATAAACATGTGATATATCTGCACAATACCCACTCACACAGAAACTTGAGTACTTATCAATGCAAAATATGGAAAAAAGAAAACAGAACATGCATGAGACCATTTTTCCTAGATGCATGAGACCATACTGTAAAAATTTCTATTCCTCAATCAAATACAGAATTTCAGGCATTGACTTTCTAAATAAGCAAGAAGTCTTTCAATTGAAAAACAAACTCATCTTACAGTATATACAAAATTAAAGGCTTTTTATGCAGGTGCATCCGACAGTTATACTCCAGATGGTAAAGATTATAGAGAAAACCTGAGCCAAATAGCCTCCCAATGCTGGGCCAATGATTAAACCTGTGCCCCAAGCTGCACTGACCTAAAAGCAAATCACACTTTGAATTATTCTTGGGAAATGTAGTTTTAAGAAGTAATAGTATAAAATAGATGATGATGCTAACTGTTGATAGTCCTAGAGCATGGTGTTCATCTCGAAAAATTTCAGTGGCATAGGCCTGTTAAATAAAGGAGTTAGCAAACAGACATGTACAACCGGAAGTTTGAACTAAATTGAGCAAGAAATTTATGAAAGTGCTAACTATTTAGTGTTTAAAATATGATACCTTCACTGGTCCAAGCATACCATTTAAACTTCCAAGAAGAAATCTCATGCTAATAGCCATCCAAAAACTGGTGCTGAGACCAAATAGTGTGTTGAAAATGACACTGAAATCAAGTAAGCACTGAGAATTATAGGAAGCTGAACAAATAACTTAAAGAAAGAACCAATCCTTTGAGAGATATACTTACACCACCACAATCCCTGCAAACATTACAGGCTTTCTACCATAGCGATCAGCAACAACTCCCCATAATATAGATGTCAAACATCTGCCAAGCATGAATGAAGACCCTACAACATTTTCATCACACAGGCTTCCCTAGTAAGTAACTTGCAAGGATTGTTGAAGACTTCAAAAAATTGATAATGATAGAAGTAATCTTACCAATATAACCAGCATAAGAACTGATATCAGCTTCTGTTTTCGCAATATTAAAATCCCTTACCTGAAAATAATCGTTCCATCATTGAGGAATCTGGATATGTATTATACTCATCCATGACATAAAGTTAAACAGTAATCACAACTTTAGTTTTGTAAGTATTTCAGAACAAATAAAAAAACAGAACTAAGAGTAGTAATCACTTAAAAACGGACTTTAGCATATTCCAAGTACTCAAAGTAAATGTATTCTAGAACTTCCAACAATGATGTTTAAGCATTCAAGTAAATGTATTCATAGAACTTCCAACAATGTCACAAGATCAAAATATACATCGAGTTCAATTGATAGCTAAACTCACCATGAAATAAAGGAATGGAAAGAGAGATGATATAGGCAGTGCTGCAGAGGACAGAATAAAGTACTATCAGAGCAAACTCAATAGTTTCAAATGACCAAAAGAAACAGAATAATGGCAACTGGTAAAATAGAGAAACAAATGCTGATTTTCCTTCCAAAATATTATGGGATCAGAAGGCACTGCTCTTTTTAGCCAAGGTACACAATATCATGCATTCAAGATAGAGATGAAATATTCATGTAAACTTAATCAGACACCACTAAGGGGGGTCCTTTTCCTGATTGATTTAGTTAAAACACTAGTATTACAGCTTTAGCTTAAGATTAAACTGTTAAGGTAACCTGTCAACTTTATTTTCAGTTTCAGCTTTGAATAAGCACCAAATTTTATGCCTACCTGGCTGAACTTTTAGCAACCCCTATGGCAAACTTTCTTTGAGTGATGCAAAAGAAGATAAGAGCAGTAAAAAAAGTTAGATCATTCTCATGAGAAAGGCCCTTTCACAGTTAACACGAAGTTAAAGAATCTAAACATTTAGTCAGAAGCTAGAACAGTTGCTGTAGCATTAGCAAACATTGCACTCACAAACACCCCAGAAGTCCCCAACAACAACACAGAAACAGGAAGCACCAACTTTTCCAGAAGTTAAAATGCTAAAAATAATGTCAAATGTTTACCATTGGACAACACCAATGTCCATATGATAGCAAGATTTTTAATGGGTACGCCTTGTCCCTCACTCAACTCTTTGGCCTGATCCACTTTGCAACCGGGGCAGTTATCGTAGTACTTCTTCCTCCCCAACAATGGCTGCTTCACGTTCTCCTCTCTCATGTTTGTGATATTGTTTCACTCAGGTCCCTTTTTCCTTTTACATGCATCAATCATTCAAACCCAGAAAAGATAATCAGAAAAGATAGCCACTTGCTAAGCGCACAATGGAGAATCACAAAGGGTGAGGAAACAAACATACATACATGCACACAATCAACAAAGGAAGAACTTTAGGACCCGTTCTTGCTATAATGCAAAAGTAGGAACATGACAACACAGGCTCTGTTCTCTCTCACATGTTATATGATGCCACCTAACAAATAATCCAGAGCCGTAGACGAACAAAACTAGTGGCATCATTGCACACGTCAGAGTGAAAAAAAATGTGCAATGGGGGTAGTGATGAAGGTGGAAAAGTTGTATAAGAAAGAATCGTTATTGGGTGTGAAGCTATTCAATCTACGTATCTAAGATCATATATGTGATTAAAATAGAGAAAATGAGTAATAACAAAACAAAGGGGTCTTACATCTAAAGACAGAGATAGGAATAGGAACAAAATGATGTCGGAAGTGAAGACAACATAAAAGTCAAACACGGATTCGTTCCGAAATTTTGAAGTGATATCAAATCTGTGACATACCTATGTATGGCTCTAATTTGATTAGGTAAGGTTCGAAATAAAATTTGTATAACATGGTTATTTTTTGGTTTAAACACGTTCTTGATCTTTGATCTTTCAAAAAAATGGTAAATTCTTGACCAAGTAAATTAATACCTTATATGCTCTAAATTTAGTTTTGTAATAAAAATGAAATTTTTTTATTTTGTCTGTCTGAAAAAATACAGATAGACTCTAGCATATTATAATTTAATAATAAAATGTTTTTTTAAAATTAAACATTTAATCTAATTTAATTTTATAAAATTTTAAACTGAAATCTGTATCTACTCATGTACAATAAACTCTGTCTTATAGTTAGTCATGTAAACTATTTTGGAATATTTACGATAGAATTTGTTTCTAAAATAAAATTAAAAGATTTAGATAAACATAAAAGTAGTACTTATTGTTTGACTTTCTATACAAACTAAATCATAACGTTTTTCACACGATTATGCCAATAATGTCTTATTCATTTAAGAATTTGTAATTTATCTCAAAACATTGTATGGCTTTAATTACTTACAAAAAGTATTAATTATTTCTTTTAAAGATTAAAAGAGAAAAATAAATAAGAAATAAAGTTAAAATACTGACTTTTTTTTAAAAGAAAATAATTAATAATAGTAATAAATACTATTTGTATTCTTATAAAATCATTATGACTTTTATTCATTAGTCACAATCAATAATCATACATATAATAAATTATTTTGATCTGGATATGGTTGGCCACATATTCATAATTACATGTTGTTAGATGATGTATCGTATAAATTATTGACCGAGCGGTCGGTGACTAAGACCGATCTCCATTCGCCTTTGGTTAACCCGGTCAAAAGGTTTGGGCCGTGAGTGGGCCTACAATGCTAATAAGCTGTTTCAAATGGTAATTGGGCCAATAATCCAGTGAACCATAAGATATCTGGTTAAAGATATTTGATAAACCAAATCCAGAAATATTTGGTTGAAGATATTGATAAGTAGGGTTTTCAGGTAATTTGTTTATATCTTATTTTGTTTATATTTTATTGGGCTTTTATTAGTTCATGATCCATGAGGTAAATTATAAATACGAAGCCAGGGCCACAAGCTAGGTACGTTCCACTTACGCATGATTCACTCTACGCTACTCTCAAATACTCAATAGTTATAAACATTCACTAAATATTACCAAGAGTGCCTTTTGCAGGTACCTCCCCCCTCGCCCAGAAGGAGACCGATTGGTTTGCTCCAATACTGATCGACCTATAGCAGAGAGCTGAAGACGAACGCGCGGTTTAGGCAGAAGGAAGGCGAGCGATTTCGGAGATTGGAAGCGGGAAACGCATGTCAACATATTAGTCTATCTGTCCCAGAAAAGTATACCTAAACAGATCACCAATAGAAGAGAATAAACTTTGGCTATAACATCAGCCACAAATGAAGTTTCTTGATGTTACAACTTTTTCCTTTAGTCAACAATTTTGCACGGTAATGAAGTAATGCAATTAAAACTTCAATTCATGGGAATTTTAAAAATTAATATTTAAAAACAACAAATCCAAAATTCCTTTCACATTATATAATGACTGTAGGGTATTTTGAAGACTGGTTTACTAAAAAAAAATTATAACACTAATAAATTCATGTCACCTTCAATTGTGTTTCGGTTGAATTGGTCGAGGATCGGTTGTCTTTCTTTACTCTACTCTTTTTTGATTGTCTAATCCTCTCTGAGAACGCAATTCACTCTGACACTCAAGTTAGATATCTTTTTCAAAGAAGTCTTTAAATGGCGCCCACCGTGGAGCCGAGCGGCATCCCCATGAAGCCACGAAAAACCAGACACGCGCTTATCGCTACTTCGGATCAATACCATGTTTTGCAACTAAGAGTAAAAAATTCCATAATTATATCTAAATGCATGTCTTTTGTTTTGAGAACTTTTAGGAAGGTTCAGTCTTACATTCAACCTTGTCAGGTTCCAATGACTTTTCATTATAATTTATAAATTATAATATATTGAAGAGTGTATTTTATTTTGTTTAACTCATATTTTTTAGAGTAAAAATATGCTACACATGAAGGTTCAAACCTACGTTCAACCTTGTTAGGTTCCAATGACTTTTCATTATAATTTATAAATTATAATGTATTGAAGTGTTTAATTCATTTTGTTTAACTCATATTTTTGTGAGTAAAACTATCTTGAAAAGGAAGGTTCAGTCCTACGTTCAACCTTGTCAGATTTCAATGATTTTTTATTATAATTTATAAATTATAATATATTGAAGCATTTACTTTATTTTTGTTTAACTCATACTCTTGTGAGTAAAAACATCCCGCACAGGAAGGTTCAGACCTACATTCAACCATGTCAGGTTCTAATGTTTTTTTATTATAATTTATAAATTATAATATATTAAAGGGTTTATTTCATTTTGTTTAACTCATATTTTTATGAGTAAAAATATCTTGCATAGAAAGGTTCACATCTACGTTCAACCTTGTCATGTTCTAATGACGTTTTATTATAATTTATAAATTATAATATATTGAAGCGTTTATTTTATTTTTTTTTAACTCATATTTTTGTGAGTAAAAATATCCTACAAAGGAAGGTTCAATCTTACATTCAACCTTGTCAAGTTCCAATGGCTTTTTAATATAATTTATAAATTATAATATATTTAAACATTTACTTTATTTTGTTTAACTCGTATTTTTGTGAGTAAAAGTATGTTGTAGAGCAAGGTCCAATCCTTCGACCAACCTTGTCAGGTTCCAATGACTTTCCATTATTATTTATAAATTTTAATATATTGAAGTGTTTACTTTTATTTATTTAAGTCATATTTTTGTGAGTAAAAATATTCTGCACAGGAAGGTTTAATCCTACATTCAACCTTTGTCAGGCTCCAATGACTTTTTATTATAATTTATAAATTATAATATATTGAAGCGTTTACTTTATTTTGTTCAACTCATATTTTTGTGAGTGAAAATATCCTGCATAAGAAAGGTTCAGTCCTACGTTCAACCTTGTCAGGTTCCAATGACTTTTCATTATAATTTATAAATTATAATATAGTGAACAGTTTGTTTAACTCATTTTTGTGAGTAAAAATATCCTGCACAAGAAGGTGTAGACCTACGTTCAACCTTGTGAGATCCAATGACTTTTCATTATAATTTATAAATTATAATATATTGAAGTGTGTACTTCATTTTGTTTAACTCATATTTTTTCGAGTAAAAATATCCTACATAGGAAGGTTCAATCCTACGTTCAACCTTGTGAGGTTCTAATGACTTTTTATTATAATTTATAAATTATAATATATTGAAGCGTTTATTTCATTTTGTTTAACTCATATTTTTGTGAGTAAAAATATCTTGCACAAGAAGGTTCAGACTTACGTTCAACCTTGTCATGTTCTAATGACTTTTTATTATAAGGATTAAATATGTTTTTAGTCCCTCAACTATCAAGCGATTTTGTTTTTCGTCCCTCTTTCAAAATTTGTACGCTTTGATCTCTCTCCTTTAGAAAACCATAATTTTTGGTCCTCCAAAACAAATAACGTTAAAAATCAAGTGAGGTGGCTAACGGTGAAGTGCCACTTCATTTTTTTCTAACATTGAGTCAATCTGGCCCTCATCGTTCCGTCACCATCACCATTCAGTCATCATCATTGTTCGGTCACCATCACCATTCAGTCGTCATAACCGTTCGACCATTACCAATACCGTTCGGTCGGTACCAATACCGTTCGACCATTACCAATACCGTTTGACCACCATCACAATTCAGTCATCATAATCGTTCGACCATTAACAATACCGTTCGGTCATTACCGTATGGTGAGGGACAAATTGACTTAGTGTCAGAAAAAAAAGTAATGACGTGGCAATTCGTTAGCCAACTTAGCCTAATTCTAATATCGTTAGATTTGGAGGACGAAAAAAATTATAGTTTCCTTAAGGAGAGGGATCAAAGCGTACAAAGTTTGAAAGAGGGACGAAAAACAAAATCGCTTGATAGTTGAAGGACTAAAAACATATTTAACCCTTATTATAATTTATAAATTATAATATATTGAAGTGCTTATTTCATTTTCTTTAAGTCATAATTTTGTGAGTGCAAATATCTTGCATAGGAAGGTTCAATCCCTTACCGCTTGGTTGATTGGACCACCAACGTTCAGCCTTATCAGGTTCTAATGACTTCTTATTATAAAAATAAAATATTGAATGTTATTTAACCGAATATTTTTGTGAGTAAAAATATCCTGCATAGGAAGGTTCAATTGGTCAGTTGGACCACTAACGTTCAACCTTATGAGGTTCTAATGGCTTCTCATTATAAAAATAAAATATTGAATATTATAATGCATATTTTTGTGATTAAAAATATCCGGCACAGGAAGGTTCAATCCCTTACTGCTTGGTCTGTTGGACCACCAAAGTTCAACCTTGTCAGGTTCCAATGACTTCTCATTATAAAAATAAAATATTGAATATTTTATTTAATGCATATTTTTGTGAGTAAAAATATCCTGGACAAGAAGGTTCAACCCCTTATCGTTTTGTTAGTTGGACCACCAAAGTTCAACCTTGTCAGGAAGGTCCAATCCCTTACCGCTTTGTCAGTTGGACCACTAAAGTTCAAACTTCTCACGAAGGTTCA